CTTTCGCTCTCTCTCTCTCTCTATCACTTTCTCTCTCTCTCTCTCTCTCTCTCTCTCTCTCTCTCTATCACTTTCTCTATACGTATATATATATATATATATATATATATATCACTCTCCCTCTCTCCCTCTCTCCCTCCCTCCCCTCAGTTTAAAGTCTGATATGTGTATTGTCCGGTATGATAATCTTGAGCAGATATGTTGTCACAGTATTGAAGCTAAATGTAGAAATTAAATTTATTTTGCTTTTTATTTTATTTGCCTCTTTTGTCATTGCACTAAACTGAATGACTGCTCAGAGCAACAGTTCCAGTCACAAAAGAGAATTAAAAAAAAAAAATGCTTGATTCTGTTTTCCTTGTTTAAAGCTTTTAAACCTCAGTAGTAAGGATGTGATGGAAGAATTAGTTGGTTTTAATACTGAGACGTTTTAACATCATGGTATGTCTTTAAATAGGTAACCTAATCTGATATCATCCCTGACTTTTTACACTGATTTTTTTGCATCTTGTGATTTTACATATTTATTTTTTTTTAACCTCAAGATGATGAAATGACATTTTGTTGGGCGAAGAATTTATTTCACAGCCATTAACATGTGCCATAAACAACTCTTTTTAGACTGATTTAAAGTAGTCCATGTATCAGAATTGCTGCTTTAAATGTTTGTGTAAATTTATGTCTTTACTTTTAACTCTTTAACATGTTTCACAAAAATAACAATTTTCTTGCAATTTCTGCCATGTGTGAAATTATTTTTCCTGCTTTTATTGTTAATCCTGTGGAAGTTTGACATTAATGCCTTTATTTCTTGTTTTGTGGTTTGCTCCAGATGTGGATGAGTGTGCTGAGGAAGGATACTGCAGTCAGGGCTGTACCAACATTGAAGGGGGGTTCCAGTGCTGGTGTGTCCAGGGCTATGAGCTCCGACCCGACAAGCGCAGCTGCAAAGCTCTAGGTATAAAAAACAGAAAGAATTCACTGTGCTGTGTTTCATCCCTGACATCTGACCACAGAGAGTCAACAAGGTTTGACCTCCAATAAAAGTATGGTTTCGTAGTGTTTATACTTAGTAAATCAGTAACTGTATCTGCTCTAGTGCTCAGGGGGTCTTGGGGAAGGTCTGGACTAGATTTAGGTTTGTTCAAGAGTGCAGCAGCCTGTCAGTCTGCTGTATTAAAACCAGGTCGTGACTTCCTGTTAAGCTGCTTTCAATACCCATGTCATTTTTTCCCTCCACTGAGATCATTGATTGCTATTATTAAAGTGTGCATTGATTCTAACTCAGATTCTTATTTTAATTCCCTTTGTTTCCATTCTTCACCATGTGCACCCTCCTTCAGGTCCAGAGCCAGTGCTACTTTTTGCCAACCGCATTGACATCCGTCAGGTTTTGCCACATCGCTCTGAATACACCCTGTTGCTCAACAACTTGGAAAATGCAATCGCTCTTGACTTCCATCACAGCCGGGAGCTGGTCTTCTGGTCGGATGTGACGCTAGACCGCATCATGAAGGCCAACCTAAACGGCTCTAATGTGGAGGAGGTTGTCTCCACTGGTCTGGAGAGCCCAGGTGGGTGCAGCAGCTAATGGGATGTGGGTTCAGCTGTGGGACAACAGGCTCATTCATCATTTATCTCATTTATTCAACCCGCTGCTTCTCTCCATCTGACTACTGTCTGACTGCTCTGATCTCCATCACTCCATCCATCACCTTACTCATTACGTTCAGCTGGACGAAACAAGTACTTTTTAGACTTTTACTCGATTAAGCCTCGTTTGTTGTATTGTTCTGTCTTCTTCTTTCAACCTTCTTTCAGTTTTATTATTCTTCTGCCAGCTGTATTTTATGCTGATTGTGACACATTTTAGAGTAATGTGTTTTCTAATTCAGCATAGTAACTTTTTGTGTTGTGCTTTAATTTTACTTAAAAAAACACTTGTGTTGTGTATAGCAGTGGTTCCAACTGTGGTCCTTGAGGAATACCATCCTGCACGTTTTAGTTGTTTCCCTGCTTTGACACACCTGATTTGAATGAATGAAGATTAATAGGCTTCTGCAGCACTTGATGAAGTAATTAAATCACTGAATCATGTGTGTTGGAGTGCGAAAACATCTAAATCATGCAGGGTAGTGTTCCTCAAGCACCAGTGTTAGGAACCACTGATCTATAGTATAGATATACTGTAGTATACTGTAGACGGATATCTATAATATAGTACCAAACCTATCAATATGAGGGTTGCAGAATGAAATGACCATGTAAAGATCACAGTTTGCCAAAAAGACATAATTTATTTCTGCAAGTTTCTGGGAAGGACTGTGTTTGTCAGCTTCCCTGTTAAACTTTAAGAGCAGTGATCCTTTAACTGGAGTTGTGAATCGGCACCTACTACCAGTTTCAGAGTTTTGACAGGACTTTTTTATTATTAAAACCCAGTTCTTCACACAATCCTCTGTGATGTAAGGTTAGTTTTTACACAGTTTATAGACATCTTTGTGTTGACTAAAGTGAATTAGCTGTGGGGACATGTTGAATGTGATCGACTCTAAAAGTACTGAATTGTAGGTATATGTTCAATATCATCTACTGAAAGTTCATTAAAATCAGTCTAGAGGCCATGAGATATTGTGCTAACAGGAAAAAACGGATTTACAGTTAGAGTTAATTAATTAAATAAATATTACATCCATGTAATAACACTTAGAATATGTGTCAGTGTTTCCACTAGGTTTACTTGCCTTGCCAGGGCACTCATCTCTTCGGATGGAGGAGGGGGCACACACGTCCATGTTGCACACATTTTGTGCTGATAATTATCGACAATTGTGAAGGAAACGGCTCAGAGTGAGGGAAACTGAGCGCTACCTCTGTAGCTTTTAGTTAGCACGGTTGTATTGTTTGCGGCTAGCTTTGCATTATGCCAGTGCCAGCAGTTGTCAACGGGGGTGGGGGTGGACAATGTAGTAGGCAGGGTGCTCGGTTCTGCTGACAGGGTGGGGAGCCCTTCTTGTATAATGGTAGGAGAAACACTGTGTGTTGTGAGTGACTCAGTCACCGTCGCAAACCTTTAGCTGAATACCTGTGAAACTACTAATGTATAGCCATTTTTGTGTTTCCTATAGTCAGTTTGCTTGGCAGCCATATTGAATTGGATGAGTTTTAAAACTGTGCCAGATATAAATGTACAGCCAATGGTTATTTCATAAAAGTTTAAATAAACGTTTGATTAAAATCCATGTGGTTGTTCATGAGATAATTTGCTAAAAGACAGTTATTAGCAAAAAAATAAATAAAAAATACAATATGTGTTGGTAATCTGTCTCAGCTTCTACAGTGCCTATTTTGAGCTATTTATCTGTACGATTACCTGAGTTACAGCTATTTTTATGTTGCTCTTTTTTTAAGCTCATTTGGTTGTGGCAGACAATTATTGGCAAATATTGTATCAGGTAGACTCCAAAAGTCACTAAGTGTCAATGTACATTCAGTGGTTACATTCATTAAAATGTATTCAGTGGTATATGAGTATGTGTAACAAAGTGACACAAACACAATGAGAAGCAAAAGCATTACTGTTATCCTCTGCGTTTTGCAATGATGAAACTATGAAAATAATTTTTATTTTAACCTCTTTTTTTTAGGTGGACTGGCTATAGACTGGATCCATGATAAGCTTTACTGGACAGACTCTGGGACGTCCCGTATTGAGGTGGCTAATTTGGATGGGACACACCGCAAGGTGTTGCTCTGGCAGAGTATGGAGAAGCCCAGAGCCATTGCACTGCACCCCATAGAGGGGTATGGATCCACACATGCACACACACTCTGTAATTCATCACAGATGCTTTCAAATCTACACAAATTCATATATGCATATCCCCTCTGGATGTGTCCCAGTTGTAGTGTAGCGAGAGCAGCGATTAAATTTTGGCAGCACGACATTACCCACAGGCGAGCATCTGTGTGGAACGAGTACTTCATGAAAGGGGCAGCCGCTAAGTGTCTCCTTCTTTGTTTCATGTTGTGTTGTGGCAGAGAAAGTTTTGCATGAGAGGCCCCAGTGAAATTTTAAAGTGGAAAACTTGTGAAACTTATTTGGAAGCTCATTAGCCTGGGCTAATTGGAAACTGAGAAAAATTCTGTTATTCCTCTGAGGTTGCACATGCCAGATGAGCGATGAAGGGCAGGACATGAGCGCTGAAGACAAAGAACTTAAGTCAGACATCTGTTGTGTCTTAAATCCTGACAACAATCTGTTTCTGTCAGAAGCAGCTTCATGTGATCGCACAGCTTCACAAGTACAAGTAAACTGACTTTTTCTTTTTCAGTAAGATCTACTGGACGGACTGGGGCAACACTCCTCGCATCGAGTACGCCAACATGGACGGCTCGAACCGGCGAGTCATCGCAGACACACACCTGTTCTGGCCCAACGGGCTCACCATTGATTATGCCAGCCATCGCATATACTGGGTGGATGCCAAGCATCACGTCATCGAAAGAGCTGACTTAGATGGACGCAACCGCAAGGCTGTCATCAGCCAAGGTAACAAAAGAAGTTTAACTTTTTTTAGGCTTTCAAGAAAATGTGCAGAAATTAAGTTGAAAGTTTTACAGAGTAGTGACAGTAACAGTCTTGATTTTGGTGAAGCTTATTCAAATGAAAGTGTGTATCAACAACCCTAATTTCTTCCTAGATGACTACATATTTTAGTGTTTCTTTCTATTATGAACTGGAGGTATGTCCCTCTCTGCTGTGTTTGTGTCAGCAAATACCGTAATTTCCAGACTATTGAGTGCACCTGAATATAAGCCACGCCCACTAAAAAGAAAAAAAAAGTACTTGTATAGGCCACACTTATCTATAAGCTGTGGTTTCCACGTTGTAACATGAGATATTTACACAAAAAATATTCTTTTTTTTTTTTTTACTTTTAATTAAATAAGTACCGGTAACACACACAAATATGTAAAGTACATGTTTTTGTCTGAACAATGCCTGTAACACGGCTGGTTAATTAATTAATTTTTTTTAAATACAGTAACCTACCAGCAGGAAGTCATTGATCGCTATCTTCATCTTCCTCCTTCACACTCGAGTATCACCCAGCTGCCGTTTGAAACCCGTTGGTGATGGAGGATTTTTTTTACCCTGCTCCACTGTCAGGATCAGACTGGGCAGACTGGAACAAAGATGCTCTTTGCATGTAGCCAGTTTTGATAAACGATTTCTCACCGCCAGTCATCCAAGCCTCTCACTGAGCTTGGAGTGCCACATTAATGCACAATTCAGGTCAGAGATTGTCAGTTTAAAAAAAAAAAACTTTATTTATACAGGTACAGTAGTCCCTCGCTACTTCGCGGTTCGTTTTTCGCTGACTTGTTCTATCGCGATTTTTCAACGTAAGATTGGACACACACATAATTGACTGATTGATGGATGAGCTGCACGATAGGCATGGAATTTTTATTTAAAATAAATTACTTAAAATTATTTAGCACCTGCTGGTGCACAGGTCTGTGTGCAGCCCACAGCTGTGGAGAAGCTCCCTCCTCATATCTCCACTCTGCAGCAGAGAAGTGGGCGTGGCCAAGAGCGCTGGCAGGTCTTGGAGAGCAGCGGAGGCAGAGAGCTGAAGTCATGACATTCTGTGCTCGTTTAGAGCAGGGGTGTCAAACTCACTTACAAAAAGGGTGCCAAAATTAAAACATTTTTTTAAACTAAGGACCAATTTCAGAAACTACATTAACTCAAATCAAATACCCAACCTCTTTTCTTGGTCACATATTCCTCAACAAAAGTTTGATTGGTCTCATTTGATGTTCTCTGTTGTGTTTTTGACATCATAATCAAAGATTACTGAAAAAAATCAAGAGATAGAAGTATTTTACATTTCACATATAATCTTGGGGGCCAGATAAGATGTCAACTAGGGCCACATTTGGCCCTCGGGCCTTGAGTTTGACACATATGGTTTAGAGTTTTATATACAGACCCTTTCCAAAAAATTTGAATATCATGGAAAAGTTGTTTAACTTCCATAATTCCATTCAAAAGGTTAATCTTTAATAGATGATAGATTCAGGGGCCACAATTTAAATGATTTCAAGTATTTATTTGTTTATTTTTACATAAATTGGGCTTCCAGCTCATGAAACCCACAAAAACAGGATTTCAAAAAATTAGAATACTGTGAAGACATCAGCCCACAAACTAACTAACTAAACAGCCACTGGCCAAAAGGATGGCCCAGCACAGAAGATCAGCATCATCAGGCCAGGACTCTGCGGTCTACACTCATCTCCAGGCCAGCGGTCACTCTTTCAGGGATGAAGATGTTCACATCCTGGACAGAGAGGAACGATGGTTTGAGAGAGGAGTAAAGGAGGCCACCTTTGTGAAAAGAAATCGTCCATCATTAAACAGGGGTGGAGGCCTCCGGGTTCAACTGTCCCCCTCTTACAATGCTGTGATTGCTAGTATCACTCAGCCCTCTGTGAATAGTAAACAGCCATCAGGGTGCTAATGATCCATTGTTAGACTGATGGTCCTTCTTGAGCATGTGATCAGCTGGTTTTGGTTGTCAGCAGCAAAACTGGTTGATCCACTCTGAG